GAGAGAGAGAGAGAGAGAGAGAGAGAGAGAGAGAGAGAGAGAGAATGGAAAGAAAAAGAAAGACAGAGACCGAGTCAGAACAAGGAGGAGCAGAAGCGACAAAACAGATAAACAATGCGAGAGAGAAAACAAAGACGGCGAGGCGTGAACACAATCACCTGAAGGTAGGCTTGCTGCTAGCTTGCTGCTCACTGCTCACTCCTAGAAGCTAGAATTATTCCCACGCGCCTGCGAGTAGACTGATCTGATCCCCTTTCTTTGCCTGGGGGCGTTGTCTTTACTTTTTCATAAGGGTACGTTCGGTGACAAACGGCGTGTTTTTGTAGAACACAAAGGGGGAACTGGTCGAGTTACAAAGCGCTACAGGATGGCTTGGTTATGCTTAAGAGCTTTTCACTCCGGAGAAATAAACAATAGGGGGACTTAAGGCTGACTGCTGTGTAACTTCAGGACGCACTTTTGCCCTCTGTAATATCTACACCGTAACATACTTTTGCCCTGTACAATATCTACACCGTAACATACTTTTGCCCTGTACAATATCTACACCGTAACATACTTTTGCCCTGTACACTATCTACACCGTAACATACTTTTGCCCTGTACAATATCTACACCGTAACATACTTTTGCCCTGTACAATATCTACACCGTAACATACTTTTGCCCTGTACAATATCTACACCGTAACATACTTTTGCCCTGTACAATATCTACACCGTAACATACTTTTGCCCTGTGTAATATCTACACCGTAACATACTTTTGCCCTGTACACTATCTACACCGTAACATACTTTTGCCCTGTACAATATCTACACCATAACATACTTTTGTGAGTGCACTTTAGACCTTCCCTCACGTACATAAACATACACACAAATTTATGTACACATACTTACATGCACCCATAAACCCACACGCGTATACACATGATTATGCTTACATACCACCCCCCCCCCCAATCTATCAGGTTAAAAAAACCCAAACAAACAATTACTACTTATTTTCAACAAGAAAGTATATTTAAAAAAACCTGATTAATTAATCGATTTTAATACAAGAGCTAGGCCTCATCAATAGACGCCCGTCTTTTCTTCAAGTTTGTATTAAAAAAAATAAAATGATCCTAGGTAAAGGCGAGCTGAGATTTTCTCTGTTTTATTGTGCTAGAGCCGCCCTTAACTTTATCCAGCATATAACTGTATAATTCTTTGATTTCTCTTATGCACGTACATTCCACAAGTATGACTGGAATTTAAAAAAAACAAAAAAACAATCAAGCAGGAAAGATGCCATGATGTAAGTATAAAGCATGCACAGTGCGCACAAGTAAAACAAACTGTTTGCAGAAGCGTCGAACAAATAAACGAACGAACAACCAAAAGAAAATAAACGAACAAAATTTTCTTCTATGTGGGTCACGTTACGAATCTGGCTGTTGTTCAGTGGACCAAAAGGTTGATCTTGAGTTTGGGAGGTATAAGATGACTCTGAGAAGACAAGGGCCTGTCCTACTTGGCAGAGCCAGAGAAAAGTCTCAAAGGTCGAGATGGTGATGAAGGGAATTAATCTCACCAACTGGTTCAGGGGAGGTAATACAGTCTGAGGGTATACTTAGAAGGACTATGTTTAAGTAAATTATACTGTTTAGTTTGTTTTAAGTTGTCTTTGTAAGAGTTTAGGTCTTTACTCAGTCTATCATGTCACAGTGGGCATTGAACTTGGGCTAAAAATCATTTATTACAAAATGATCGATTGGTGTGTCTATCGGCAACCTTCGCAGAATGATGCAGATTTTGAAACGGGCTCTTGAATAAGGGTTTTGCTCTTTTAGTTTTTTGAACGAGAGTCTTATATAACAGCATGTGCTCATATTTTTGGAAAACAAGATAGATCAGTCCCCCCCCCCCCAAAAAAAAAAGAAGAAAAAAAGTTTGTTAATGAAGATGTGACCCGTGACACTTTGAGGCCGTTTTCTTTAGCATCTCATCAGGAGGAGTGATCTATATTATTGTAGTATTCAGTCTCTGACTTCATCCCCGGCCTCTCAGTTGTAGCAGCTATACTCTCTTTCGTCTTTTTTTTATCTTTTGGTAAGTGTTTTACGGCTTTCGCAACTGTATAAGGTCATATGAGCGCGAGGGGAAACACCAAACATTTTCAATTGGTAGGAAACTTTGAATTTTGCCCAGGTGGCGACCGAAGCCTACTCTTATCGATTTTGGATAACTTGCACACGGGACCTCCGAGGTTTTTCGCCCTTGTCCGAGAAGGCTAGGTGTAGGTCTTTTCTATCAGATCAGGGGTGTGGCTGAAAGACAGCAGTAAGAAGGAGCCAAGGAGTAGCAGTAGAAAGGCTGCTGAAAGAGTCAGGAGCCCAGAGGAGGGGGCAAAGGAGGTGAGGGGGCGGGGGAAGAAAGTGCAGACAAAAGCAGACGACATAATATTGCAAGAGAGAAGGAAAGAAGGTGAAAGGAGACAATTTTAGAGAAGAAACATTTTAAGTCGCTACCTTATTCGAACCCGGGACCTTTGAATGAGAGGCGAATACCTTAACGTCTAGGCCACGAGAGCCCCCTCTTCTTCGTCGCTCGCAGAAGATTTAAGTTCGATTCTCGAGTAAGGAGATTTTTTTTTGAATCCAGTATCTCCCTAGAATCTATCTCCTGAAACGCTGTATTCCCCTCAGTCTGGGGTCTCCCTCACAGGTAAGGCCAAAGCAGCCCCAACTCGTAAATGATCTAAATTGGGTCGATGCGGACGTGAGACATCTGCAATAAGGCTTACATTTTATTTTAAACAAAAAGCGGATCGTGGTCTCGCTAGCCTTTTCACCCTCTGACATGATAAGAAGCAGAGGAATTGATTCGTAACGTGAAGGTCACAAAAAATACAAAAAAAGCTGAGCTGTCACTTTTGCTGATATCTGTACTGTTTATTGTTTACCCACAACCGCCTCTGTGGTCTGTGGTGTCACGGTTATGGTCCTAGCTTTACACACAACAGATGTGGGTTTGATTCTCATGGGGGGAAGATACATGTATGTATGTCATCGAGTATTTTCGTCGTTCCTTCTTTCTCTCCCCAGTTTTTAGTTCCCCAAGACTGATAGATCTATATCTTTGCATTCTCCCATCTCCTTTTTGCCGACAGTTTCATGAAGTCATGTCATTCTGTGTATTCTTCGAAAAAAAAAGTCCTCCCCCCCCCCCCCCAAAAAAAGACAGATTTACGGAACTTCTAAATTGTTAGTGCGCACTAAAGTGCATAAAACGTGGACACGTTCTAGATATCTCGTGACGAAATACACAGAAAAAACATTCCTCTTGCCTTTACGTCTTTCAAAGACTGATTTGATCCATCAGAAATCAACATTTTGGGAAAAGGTTTGAGCAGGAGATAACATCAACATAGGTAATGTGAAAGAATTGTTGAAAGCTCTTTAAAAGGGGAATATTTTAATGGTTGCTTGAGCAGACCGAAGACTGTCTCTTTCTGTCACTTTTATTGGAAGAAGCTCTGTGTCAAGTTTCACAGGTTCCATATACCTCACTCATTAACTAACTTGTTTTATCGCCATACTAGACTACACGTTCGCATCCAGCTTCAGCGCTTGTCTTACTCTTTCCCGAGCCTTTCTTGCAGTGTTAATACCCGTTAACATTCTTGCAGACATAGATTTTAGATCTAGATCTAGATCTAGATCTACTCAGACTCGCACCTTTCACACCGTTGTTAGTGGTTGGTTGGCTGGTGCTCTGTTGTAGATCTAGATTCTAAATTTAGTCTATTTCCTCTTTCCTATCAAATATCTTATTACCCTTTTCTCTCTTCGTTCCCTTTGTGTCCGTTACTCTCTTGTAACATCTCTAATCTTTGGCATTTATATGGGAGGACTTCCGTAACGAGCGACCCCCCCCCCCCACACACACACATACAAGAGTGCGTTGTTTTAGTGCGCTCCATCCTATAGATTATAACTATCATTTGGACTAAGCCCTGTAGAAAACCGAAGTTAAACAAAAAAATACAGCCTCTTAAGTAAAACTTACTAAGTTGAAAAATAAAGCACTAACGCAACACCACTGGTCCATCCCAACTGTGGAAATGTTTACCAACAGGAAATCCCTGTTCATTTCTCTGTAAGAAGCCTTATCTAGTCAATCTTATTCTGACACCAGTAGAATCATTATCGTAATCATAACATCCATTGACTTTTGTTTAAAAAATATCAACTTTCTAGAAATGATAAATAGTGCAAACTTAGAAAAGAGTGTAGAAAGGAGAATAGAAATCAAAGTATATAGTGTAGCAGTTGGCTCAGAGAGCTGGGGTTTGAACCGGTTTTAAGATCTGACTTTCTTAGGAGAGCACTTATCAAGGCTAACATTCCAAGTTTTTTTTGGCGATCAATCTTTTTTAAAATACAGTTTTAATAAGAATTTTACGGCACTTGCAATACTATAAGGTCATTTATAAGTGCCGAAAATCAGATGTATTGCAAGAGAGTAACAAATAAGGAAAAGGAAGAGAGATCAGGACGATAGGCGTTTGATAGGAAAGAAAGAGCAAACCACACCAGAGGACCCATCAACCACCCACGATCAGTCTTCTTAAATGACTTACTTATAATGTGGTATAAAACTTGCCCCTCTTTCCCTCTTGCGGTGGGCTGGGGAGAATCAAATTACTATTCATCAGTAGTATTTTCGATGGAAGTAAAAGTTGTCCCTCCTTTTTGAACTTAAAGAATTGGAAGGTAAATATGAATTACACCTTATAGATCCTTCTGGGGAAATTTGATTACAACGGCAAACATACGAGGGCTGTCCCACGGAAAACCGGAAAAGGTCCGTAAAAGCAAAAATCTTTGTCCTATTATAATAAAACTGTAACACATCATACCTCAATATGTGTTTTATTTCTCAATGTAATCACCATCCCGCTGGACACATTTTTCCCATCGCTGGATCTGGGAGAAGATACCCTCCCTGAAGAATCTTTCGTCAAGGGATTTCAACCAATCGTTCACGGCTTCCACGAGGTCTTCGTCGTCGGTTAATCGCTGTCCAAAAATATGGCCTTTCATTGGTTCAAAAAGGTGATAATTTGACAGCGCCAAGTCAGGACTGTGAGGGGGGTGTAGTAGAACTTCCTAGAAACCGAATGACAGACCTCACTTCAACCCTTGACCAATTTTCCAAGGGGGTAGCCATCTTTTGAGAACTGCTGTGCTCGTTTGGTTTGTGCGATGCTCATGGTGCTCAATCGGGAAATTTCTAAATGATTGTTTTACAAGTGTGCGTTTACAGAATGTGAAAATATTGAATAGTTTTCAAATTACAGCCAAATTCCGGTTTTCCGTGGGACAGCCCTCGTACATAATATATAAACACGGGTACAAAACTTCCCTGTCTTTTCCAAGGGCACATCCCCAGTAATCATCCATCTAAACCCTGTGTTACCGACACTTGCTTTGACACTACTTCATTCGTGAAAGATGCTTTACACATATATTTGTGTGTGTGGGAGGGGGGGGGGGAGGGGAGGGGGGGGGGGGGGTTTGGGGCCAAACAGAAAGAGGGAATTTCAAAAATAACTTTCCCGAAGTTCCCCCTTTTTTTTTTCGAAAAAAAAAAAAGTTAACTTACACTTTCAGGGGCCCCTCTGTAAAAAGCACTGGGGGGGCAAAGGGCCCAGATTTTCCGTTTTTTTTCTTTCTTCCCCCAAATCTCCCGGGAAGAACGGTTTCTGAACCTCGGGTCTCTGGAGGGGGGCTATCTTATGGGAGAAAGGCAACCTACCCCCCCGAAAAAACCCCACCGAGAAGAACGGCCAAAAAGGAAAATTGCCTGGGGGACAAAAGTCTTAAAAAAAACTCCTAATGTCAAAGAGAGAATTTTTTTTTTTGGAAGGGGGGGGGGGAGGGGAGGGGGGGGGGGGGGTTGGGGGCGAGACAGAGAGAGGGATGTCGAAATTATACTTTCCAGATGTTCACCTATTTTAGTTTCGAAAATAAAAGACGTTAACTTACACTTTCAGGTGCACATCTGTAATATGCACTTGGTGCGTCAATGGTCTCAGTTTTTCTGTCTATTTTCTTTCTTCACCAAAATCTCCGGGCTAAGAGCGTTCATGAACCTCGTGTCTTGTAGGGCGCATATCTCATGCAGAAAGCCAACCTACCCCACACGACAAAACCCAACCGAGACAGAACGCACAACAAGAAAGACTGCTGGGGAGACAAAAGTTCTGAAAACTAACCTCTAACTGTCAAAGCGAGAGTATTTTCTTTCAGATTTTCTCTACCTTTAGAACTGAAAGTGAGAGAATGGCTTTTTCGGCTGTTCACTGACAGGACGTCTTCACCCGTGGCTACGTAAAAAAATGTCTTGCATTTAAAAACACAATCTGTTGTAGGCATAGTTTACACACCAGCCGGGACCCACCACACGGTGCTTTTTCTCCAGCAGTTGAGGTGATGAAATAAATATCAGCCGGTCGCTGGGTCAGCGAGTGACATTTCCATAACGGCACAGCGCACCCCATCACCGGAAGGAAGCAGCGTACTACCTGAAGGGCAGATAACTCCCGAACGGCTGGCTTTGTTTGGCCAGACGCTGTCGGAATTGGACGGTTCATTCCACAGACTATGCTCGTCCATAGACCTTGCTACGAACTATCAAGAGCGCTAGATGCTCCTGCTGGAAGCGAATACATTATTACATGGCTGAAACAGCTGGTCTAAGCCTGAATGCCACCCAGCCTTATTCATAGACTACTTGGGATGCAAGAGGAAAAATCTTCCAATGTTTTGATATTATGATCGTCCATACTGACTAAAGGAAAATAAGAATATATTATTATGTTTTAATAATGTCAGCATCATTTAGTTTTTGAACATATTTTACTTTGGTTTCCCAAAGTTAAAAAATGAGCCGGATCTATCAGTTCGAAGAACTTAAGAGTTTGCAGAGGTTTCAGTTTCTCCAGGCTAATGGAGCCAGCGATCTTCCTTTGTTCACAAGATATCTCTGTGTGCACCTGAGAGTTTCTCATCTGCTCGGCGTTTGGCGCGACCCTCGACTTAGTTAACATTATGTAGTATGATAATAATAGTTCAAAACAAGAAAGGCTCTGGTTCAATTTCTCACGATAAGGACAGCCCATTTTCGCCGTGATTTCTTATCGGGAGACATGCTGGTGCATCTGCCCAACACTTGCCTTGAATATTCGTCTCGTACACAAGAGACTGCACCCCAAACCAATCTTCTCCCATAATGCGATCACAATCTACATGCCGCAGTTTCTATTAAATCCAGAACGACAGTGCAAGATTTTTATTCATGAGAAATAGAAGCGGAATGACAGAGACAACTTCAGTACGAGAACAAGATATACATGTATATAGGAAACAGAGGAAGGTTCAGCTATATAAAAGAAAATCCAAGGAAATAACAAGAAAGACAACGAGGACAGCACCAATCTCAGAGAGTACGTATCAGACAAACGCAATTATTTTCGTGAACTTTCGATTTTCTCTCAAATTATGACACAATTTCATCATCTTTATTGGAATGAAATTACATATAAATTCAACAGAAAAAAGTTGAACCCCTCCTCGTTTTTCCTGCTAAATAAAAAGAAAGACAACTTAAAAAGCCCAACCTAAACAATCCACTACCACCAAAGAGAAAAGTAAAAAAAAAAGTAAAAACAATAACAACAGCACCCCCCAACCCCTCTCCCTAAAAAAAACAAAAAACAAAAAAAAACCCCAAAACCCCCCAACAAACAACAACAACAACAACAAGAAACCTACTGAATCGGTCGTATTGTGCCAAGATCGTAGCTTTTGCCACTCCCCCCCCAAAAAAATTTTTTTATTAAAAAATAAAAAAGATATAAAAAATTCCGATTTTTTAGATGGAGCTGACTGGCTCCGACTGAATCAAAATTAAATGAATCCGATTGCCTGTGTGCACTGGGTATCAGGGGCAGGTCTACTGTCCACCAGAAGGAGGTACCTCATAAACATGAGGCTCAATTAATTTACACCTGTGATATATATGGTGTACTTTTCTGTGTATTTTTCTCTTTTCTCGTCTTCTTTTTTATTGATACAAGTCAACTAGCGTATGTGGTGTAGAGGTTTAGCGCTTTGCGGCCGCTCACAGAATTAAAATTCCATGGGGAGAGATTTTTAAAAAATCAATAAATTATGTCCTTCTATTTCCTGGAACGTTTTATCCATCTCAACCCGGGTTGGTACCGACAGCCCCCTTTGAATATGTCTTGAAGGGCATTTACATCTATTCGAGGTTGTGTCAATAGCCCAGTGGTTATGCTACCGGGTCCGTAATCGTGAGATTGCGGGTTCGGGGAACTGAGTCTTAGCTCGGTCCAACGTTGTGTCCTTGAGACAGGCACTTTACACGCATTCTGTGTTTGGCGCGGTCCTTTAGGAAAGGGACTTTTATCATACTCGGAGGTACCGCCTCTTAAATAATCTAATAATGTTGATGGAAGCGTTAAACCTATCATCATTACCCAGTGCCAGATCTGCGACAGACATCGGCGATCATGGTTCTCCATTCATTCCTTTGCTCGGATGCTCTTGAAAAAAGCTACGTTTTCCTGATCTTTCCCCGTTTCCCATTTGTTTAGGTTCCCTAAGTAGGTTGCTGGGGGCCTACCTCTGCCTCGCTTGCTTTCAGTTTTGCCAGTGAGAGCTAGATGTTCAAGATGTTAAACCTATACCATTTCACATTTCGTAATTTCTATTTGAAACTGTGTGAAACCTTCCTCTCACAGGAGCCCCAGTGTGGGACAGCGCCTCACCACCTTGCCCAGGGGGCGCTCACGTAGACGCAGTCTTCCCTAGAGCACGAAGCATGACGTCACAGTAAAATGTCAGGTATAGTAGGTGCACACACACACACAAACACACACACACACACACACACACACACACACACACACACACACACACACA